TCAACACGATGAATAAACATGATCCAAGCAACGACTTTAGTCTATGCACCCTGCTCTCGGGCATCGTTGACTTGCAGAAGCAATTACGTCTAGGCCATGGCAAGTACGAGGCAACCTCAAGTCATGGAATTAGATGAGCAGAGCTCCATCGAAGCCAAAGACTAGCGAAATTGAACTGCTCGGCTGTCTGTCTAGTCCGCAGAGAATATCACCGGATTGTTGGGCCCTCAACGGTGGCGGCCGGTGGTCTATTCGTTCCATCCACACCAAGGAAGGAAGGATAGATCGGCCGGTGGCATCCATCGATTCCATGCTGTGTGCCGCTTGCTTTTTCGTGACATGCTTAGAGCATCTATGGTCAGCGTACAACAGCAGCAGATCAAGCAGCAGGTGATACGGCGTAGCAGAAGACCAGGCAGAAGTAGGCGCGTGCCAGGAAGCAGCAGGTGCATGCAGCAGGAGCGGATTGGGGCAGCAGCAGGCGTAGCAGCATGCACCGATGTCTCGACGCTTGCGTCTATCTGTATCTGGATGTCCGGGCACTAGCCTGGCCCCTATTTTATTGCATTGGGTGGCATGGGCCTAGTGCAGCAGGTAGCACATATATGTAGTGGCTATATCTAGTATTGGTTGTCTCGTGCTGACTAATGAAGTACCTATTTAATGATAAAGGGTCTGTTTGGGACTTCTCCGTTCTATAATTTTTAAGTCTGTCCCATGTTTTTCAGCCAAGCAGGTACAACTTCCTAAAGAGGTACTTCAAAAACTAAACATTTTTGTGGAGGTGTACCACGGTAGAGTTTGTGGAGAGTCCCAAATAGGCCAGAAATAAAACCGACACAAATTACTGCATCAACACTCGTCACATGCGCGGTGCAGATGATGGACTTAGGCAGATGGGTATAGAACGAAAGATGAGATAAATGCTATTCGTTTTCCATATTAGTGGAGCTGCACCCATCATGGTTATTGGGCTTACCTTCTAAGCATCCTTACATTCAATACTTTTGGCACGGCACCACCTGAGCCCAGGCCAGACCAAAGAAGCAAAAGCCCATTTGAGTTACTATATTGGCCCGTGTAGATGTTCCAAGGCCTAAAACAAAAACTGGGTTTGGCCCGTGCAGCCGAGCAAGAACAAAATGAGAGAAGCTTTGGTGGTGCTGGCCATAAGGCACATTATTTTTTTTTCTATCTTTGTGCTGGTTTTGAATTAATTTCTATTGAAGGTTGCTGGGGACTGCTTATAGAAATTCATTTACACTGGCAGTTAACCGTACAGCCAGTGGAAATATATTTCTACCAGTAGTGCGCAGTCACCGCAAGTAGAAATACCCAACTTTAACTAGCATTTCATACTAGTTGTCCAAATCTGTCTTCGGTAGAATAAACCAAAGTTTTACGTCCTTAAAATTCAGTTGTAAGGACGGGTGCAGCGAAGCATGCCATCGTACCTAGTGAATTTTTCATGGCGATGCCTTGCTCTCTATCGGAGATAGCGGGTGTTGGGTCTTATAGTTGAATAGAAATGATGCGGTGTTCCAAAGGTTAGTTGCTAACTCTCTTTTGCAAGTAATTTTCAGGGGGACTTTTTGGATCAGGTAATGGTCCCTATTGTGTAAAGAGGAAGAGAGAGGGGCGTTGAAAGAAGTTGCAGGCATCTGGAAGGCGCGGCACTGCAATTTTTTGGAGTTCATGTGTGGAAGAACCAGAGAAGTATAGGACTGTGTAGAGTCCTATGATTTTTGTTTTGTCACTCTCGTCCACTAGGAATTATGAATTGTGATCTGTGATCTAATTGTACCAGCAATCTCAGGTGTGAGATGTCAGGATTTTAGAGATCCATTTGTATCGGCAATCTCAGGTGTGGAGAGATGTCACGTTTTTAGAGGTTCTTCTTTGTCCGCCTAGCGGAATTGTGGGCTAAGCTCCCTGTTTGTATTACTTGGCCATAAGCATTCACTTGTGAATGTGAAGGCTGTAATATTTTTTATTCCGTAATCTAAAAAAATAGTGAAGCCGTCCATCCTCACAAGTGCTACATTCAACATTTCGGGGACGGGCTGACTTGAGCCTAGTCTGGACGAAAAAACACAGGCCAAGGCCTGAAACAAATCAGGCCTAGCCTCAACCCAGCAGAAATTACATGTATTTTATTTTATATATTTCAAATTTAAAAGGCGTATACCAGGTTGTCACAGCTGAGTGAGATGACTTTAATTAATATCTATATCCTGTCTGCCAGTAATAGTTGGGCCTGGGCATCAGATTTTGGCTTGATAGAGATTGGGCTTTTCCTTGACCCAACTGAGGAAATGGTCATATCTGCTCCATTGTCTATTGATTTGAACAAAAAATGGAATCTCTTAATGTATCTTCTTTCATGCACACACAACACACAGAAAGCTGGAAAGTGTTTTGATTCGTACAAAGTTGTATCATTAATATTCTGGGAGTAAACATTATTGGTGATACATATGAGCATGGAAGTCCGGACATAAACACACACTATTGATGATGCACTCATACAATTCAAATGTATACTCAAAGAGATTTTTTAAAGATTACACTCAAAGAGATGAATGCCCTTCTCATTCCATGTTTGTTCCTCGCACTAGAAAACATAATAAACCTTGGCTTGTATATATAGCCCACTCTTTATGAATTGAATGTTCATACACCACCATCACTTTGTCCCATCTATACTAAATATGCTACTAGCTTAGTGGTCCAAATTCAAACCTAGTTGAGCAGTTGGAGGAAACCAACATACCAGTATGAGATTAGAAGTCCTTAATGTAATGCAGCAGGCTCAACCAATAGTTTCCAGTGGAACTGGTGTTGAACTTTAGTTGATACACAACATTTGCCATGGGAAATGCTAGCAGGAGCACCAATGACTTGTGCATCTCCAAATTGTAGTTTCCAGTTCTAGGAAAACAAGCACAGTAACTTTCCATAAGCAATTCAGAGTCATAGTTTCATCCTGATATGAAGGTTCGATCATCAATTTCATGATAAATATCAATTCAACATAAAAACACCGTATTCAAACAGTATGAGATTCATATTCACTTTCCAAACATAAACAGGCACCACTTACATGCACTAGATGCTGATGTGGTCGCCACTGACCATCATTTCTTCCATGAGTTTGACGCTTAGCCTCTTTCCATGCAGATATAGTGTGTGTTTCAAGCTGCTCTTCTGTCAAGTTCGAGCCATGAGTTTCTAGCTGCAGTCAAAGCATGAGTATTTTATAAAACAATTCAACCAAAGTAACATCCAAAGATAAGTCCACATAAAGCTCAACCATATATATATTTCTTTACAGTCCATCACATACTATCGTGCTTTCAGTTTACAACACACAACAGCATAGCGGCACCGATTAATACGTTAGTCATTTATATCTCTGTTCCAAGAGTACATTGAATTTTTGTTCTCCGTAATCCTCCTAACAATGTTTCCACAATTTTCACTATATTAATCCCATATTTTAGAACTACTATTGATCATTTTGGATGTACAAAAATGATACTAGCATCAACAGGATGACAACCAGTTGACACAGACTGGATCTGCAGCATGTAGATTGAAATCAAAGTCAAATTGATTGGATTAGGGTTAGGGAGGGATGGGAACCGACTGCAGAGGGGCTGCAGCATTGGGCCCGGATGCGTAGCCGCCAAGCGGCTGGGGCCTGTTGGTATTTCTTAACGCATACAGAAATAATCCGCAAGCACATGGAATTATCGTTGTAGCATTTCACCCGGAAATATTCAGGGTATCATATTTCCACAGGAAACGGAGGTGTAAGAGTCTCTTAAGCTAGTTCACCTAATGATAATAAGAAGAAAGATAGCTCGGGTAACGAGGTTTTCTAGGAATAGAGATCCTCAGTTAAGATAGCTTTGCCACTATCGACTTACTTCGGGCATCGGCTTATACTTGGTCTGTCAAGTACCTCCGGCTTCCAGCTCTACGCCAAACCTGAACGTGGGGAATTACGAGGGACGGACAGGGCTGTCACCACCTGCCGCCTACCCCTCAACCGTAGGGAACGAGGCAAACGAAGGTAGCGTCTAGCCTAGACACCACGTCTATGCTATCGACTACTATTCTAGCGTCGATCAGAGTTATCCATCATTATCAGGGCCCTCTACTAGAGTATTCGTCATAAGGACGAACGACGAACCCACAAGTAAATAATGAACAAGACTAACTTAAAGTAGAACTCACCATCGAAGATAAACACGAACCCCATACTCCAAGTAGTATTCGGAACGTAGAGGTACAAGTGTAGAAGAGCCGACGATTCCCGGCATTCCTTCCGCTAAGTGTACAAGTGGCCCCGAGTACAATAGTGCAGGTAGCCGACAACTCCGGTACTTCTCCACTCTTACTCTCTCACTCCCTACACTAGAACTAGCTAGAAGCTAAGATAAGGGTGTGGCTCTTCTTCTCTTCTTATTACATTGTGCCCTCTAGTGTTGTGTTTCTTCCTTGATGCTCAAATGAGGAGGGGAGAGTCCTCCTTTTATAGGTGGAGAGGAGGGGGTTCCATGGAAAATGCTTCATCCCCTCATGGAAAGCACAAAACCAACCACCATACTGCCATCTAGGTGCACTGAACCTGGACGACACCCTGGGAACCGACATGGCGGCATCTGTCAACACGCGAAAGATGGGCCCGAGAGGCCCCAGTGGTGGTGCGGGCGCACCAGTAGTGAAGCCGCACCCCAACTTACTAATTAAGGCGGGTGACAAATAACAGGTTTGGGGACTGAAGAAAGATAGAGGCGAGCCGACATTACTGGTTAAGGACATGTTCTTGGGTGAACACATATTATACAACGTCGAAGACTGCAGGCTTGTAAGTACACATACTAAAAAAGTCAACAACATGATGATTGAACAGTGTTATATGTGTGGATAAAAAAATAGGAAAGTTTATTTTTTTCATACGTATATTAAACAAGTTTAAATAACTGCAGGTCATGGCGCCAATACTTGTAGAGTGGCATTGGTGCCTTTATATATGGGATTTCGAGAGGAAGAAGGTAGTGGTGCTAGATCCAAAAAACATGAAACTAGGAAATTCAGTATTGGAGGATAAGCACAAATGCTACATTTTGTTACTCAATTCTGGTATGAATGAGTGCTGGAGAAATCTCACAAATAACAATAACAACAATAATGATAATTGGGACACTGAATACATTGATGTCATCGGGCGAGAAGCAAACAGGTAACACACTACTACTATATATTAAATAGAAAAAAAAGTATTAGACAAATTAATTATAGTTATTTTTTTATAATAACAGCATCAACACTGGATTGTATACAATCTTCTATGCAAGATACTTCAATGGGGAAGTCATAACAAGGGTGTTGACTAAGGTGAGACAAATAAATCGGGAAAAAAACTATGGTCTAAGACAGTTATTGTGAATATGAATGATAACGTTTTCAATATTTTCAGGAGGCCACCCAACTGCAAAGGATGAACCTAATGTACCAGCTTCTGAAGATGGATGGCAACATTGGCAATCCGCCATCATCAATAAGGAATGCAATGTACCATTGCGAATAGAATTGGGAAAAGGGACATACAACTTTTGCAGAATGCTTTTGACGAATTGGTGAACTGATGTTCCATGCTATTAAGACTTTAATGTAAACAATATACTTGTCAGGAAGTGGAAATATGCATGCTTGCATTATTAATTACACTGCAGTCTAATGGTTGAACGAAAACTGAGAAATGTCAAAGTGGATTAATAACAAGTAAATATCACGATTGTTTGGGGACTTGTTTGAGCAAATTGGGGACAATAAGAAGAAATGTAATGATCTCTAACAAGCAGTGCAATGCATATAAATAAAAAGATCAAAAGACAAAAAAAATTGTAGAGCCTATTACTCTAATAAAAATGCGTGTATGGAGATTTAGGGTTTAGGGTTTAGGTTCAGTAGAGTGCACTGCATAATGGGAGATTTATATGGTAGTATGGAGGGTATCCGATCCCTTTCAATAAAAAAAGCATTGAGGGCTGTTTGTTCAGAGATTTCAAGAGACCAAAAGGGTGATGACATTTCAAAGACTTTAGAGGTATTCAGAAAAATGCGTGCAGAAGATCCAGGTTTCCAATTCAGTGTAGATTTGGAAGATGAGAAAAAAGTTAAAACTCTACTATGGACAAGTGGAAGGAGCCGAGTACAGTATAACTTCTTTGGTGATGCAGCCCTGCAGTAAAATCTGGTCACATGCATAATCCACGTACTACGTGTGTCTGCAACTTTTCAAAGATCCATGCGAGAGCGAGAGTCTCGAGACTTGCATCGACGAAGCAGTCGTGGAAGTGCAGCCTGAGCAAGGAAGCGCCCATGCGAGCAGACCGAAAAAACCTTGAGTATCAGCGGTCTGAACGGCCAGGCTTTTCTAGAGATCCGTGCCAGCTGTACGACTGCTATTAGTGTCATTAGATTAATTATAAAAGTACTAATATTTATTATATAAAATTAGTGTCATTAGATTAATTATACTCCCTCGGTTCCAAATTATGAGAAAAAAAACTTCACTCCACAATAACAAGTACATATTAGGTACATTAGTGTACCACTTCCCTAAAAAGTAAAAAAAAACAAATATATAATGGTTTCTTTTACAATCTTATCCAGACGGGAGTGCGTATGTAACATACTAACATGCAATTGTTATGGGAGAGTATACTACAATCCGGACGGGAGTGGCAATATGATATGACAACACTTTGGCCCCATTCGTGTGCCCTTAAACCCGGCTTGATCCGCTTCTTTTGTCATCCGGAACAGTGTTTTCCTCTCACAAATTTCTCCAGCATTTCTCCAAACCATCCAAATTCCTCCAGAATTCCTCCAAGCGAACAGGCCCTTCCTCAAAAAAAAAAAAAAAAAACATGATGTGACAACAGCTCACGCAATTGCAGGAGTCGTGCTTTGGCGCAGCAACAATTGAAATTCTGGTAACTCTGAAATTACTTGAATCGGTATTGCTAGGAGATCCCTTGTCCAGTACAGCTCTCTTGCATCGAGGGAGTTACTTCGACGCAACATAAAAAATTCTGATGATGGTCACCCAACAAATTACTTGAGAACGAGATGAGTAGCCGTGTACGCATTGAGCAATAAAAATGAAGATGAGCCAAAGACAATTTGGTATATTTATAAGTATATGTGATACTATAATTGCTACTTCTACAAAAGAAAGACTATACTATCTATGTTCACAACCTAGTTTCATGTTCCATGCCAAGAGAAAGTTGAACGAACTGACAATCAAATGGCACATACCAAAAAGGACTAGCATGTAACACTACATAATGCCCCTGCACGGAACAAATGAACAGCTTCAGAACCTTCAACATGGCGAGCAAATTTACTTGGCTATCTTTTCAGTCAGCAACAATTAAGAAGCTTGAAAGCTGGATTTTTAGGTAATCTTTAGGAAAATAATGATCATATTTTTGTATATTCACTGAAGCTAAACCAATATAGCAAATTCAGCATGTTGACACAATCACCTTTATATGTAAATGTAAAAGGGTACTCTTGCTTCCTAAGATCAGTAGTTGATCACAAGCTTTTCGCAATAAAATGCCATAACTCACAACAGAGCATGTTTTATTTTGCATAAATTAAAATAAGAAAGTGAAGCAACAAGAAAATCAAGCAAGCTGGTAACTTCTAGCTCTTGGAGCACTTAGAGTGATACATATTCGGTAGTGAGAAAATGGAATACTACTGAACAACAAATGAGAGGCCTCCATTGACATCATGCTATAGAATTAATTGGAACAAAAATGAATGCAGAACTTCTATAAAATTATTGTGCTTTCAAAAGTGAATTAGTAGCTTACCTACGCTGTGATTAAATGCAGAAGAAGTATTATATATATGGATGTGAACAAAGTAGTATAAATGCTTCAGGAGAACAGGGAAATCTGTATAGAACAAAATATATCACAATATATATAGGGATGAATAAAACGTCTTGAAATTAAAAGGATAAAGGATAGATCTATATATAAGAAAAGGAAAAGAAACATGGCTGCAGAACACAACCAAGATATTAACTGATTGAATAAAAAAAAGATATTAATTGATCTTTCAAAATAAATTGGATAAGTGGATAAAAAAAAAACAAAAAAAATTAAACTGTGCGTTAGAACAAACATTTAGTAAAAAAAGGAAAACATTTAGTAAAATAAGAATAAATATAAATCCATTAAATAGACTGCAAAAAAAGACTCTCTAGTCAATCAGTTCGCATGCATTGTCTATTAATCGAACGGATATATACTTACAACGGTGGTCCATTTAGTAAAAAAATATATAAACCTGATTTACTACAATTTCTTAGAAAGGGGACATGTCTAAGCTGGCTGACAAAAGGATTAACACGACAATGGGGGAAAAACATGGCTTGTGGTAATAAAAAAAATGAGGTATGTGCGTACTAGTAATGTGAACTAAAGGAGACATGGTTACCTCCAAAGATTACTGAGAGAATGGTTGAAAATGGGAGAAATAAAGAAAGCTACCTGAAGTTAAGCAACAAGAACAGGTACTACATTAACAATGAAAAATATCAGGTGAAGGTTGACGCCTTAATGGATCCAAGCCAAACCTGTAGACAAACCAGAGGAAGATTAGTACAAGGATATACAACAAATCAGTGGTAAGGAAAATAATAAAACAAAGGATCTGGTAAATATAAAAGAGCAGGGAATGCAATACTTATGAATAAAAAAGAGAAGGCAAGGGATTTATGAAAAGTAAAACAGAGCATGCTTCTTGGTTCAAACTATAAAAGAGCAGGCAAGGCACTTATGCAAAGTAATAAATAAGATCTGAAAAGAGAGGACTAAATCAAGAAGTTTGGTTACAAGAAAACATTATTAGTAGCACTGTTCGTATTTGCTTTTTCTATATCAATTATCTTTGTAATATTGTTATTTGTTCTCCACAGAAGCTAAGTAACACTAATGGCAATATAACTCTTTCACTGCCACTTTTATCTATACAGCTAGCTCCTTGATGCAAGCATCCCACGGGACCACGCGGCCTTTCTAGTACTCGATGAAATCAATAATGCATAGGCTAAAACAAAAAAAAGGTAAAATAAACATTAGTGGAATTATAAGAAGTTAAAGATAGTCTGGTGTCAGGGAGCAAAGTTGCAAATAGCCATTAACAAACTGTATACCAAGCTGGGGTACTAATTCTCAGCAAGGGTGCATGTGGGAATCCAACAATGATTCATTTAATAACAACACGTATAAAACTGATTTAACTCCCGTGCTCTTTTCTATTGAGAGAACAATTGTTCAAATATTTTCTTTACCACTCAATGGATGGTTCAAATGCAGTATGGTCGTACAAATGAAAGTAATACTGTTAATGGATTAAGGGAAGAAAATTACCTGAATTTGGCATTCAACAACACGTACTAGATCCAACAAAGAACACTATCACTTTAAGGTTGACAGGTTAATGAATCCAAGCCAAGACTGTAGAAAAACAATAATGACATACAGCAAAGTTAAATCAGGAAAGGGATTTCTGATAAAGAAAATAAAAAAACAAATGGAGAAACGACGAGATGTATCACTTCATAATACAAAAAAGCAGGCAAGGGATTTCTGATAAAGTCCAGCAGGAAAGGTATTTCTTAGAGTGCGGAAATCAGGTTAAAGACAAAGGAATAAATCGAAATGTGAAGAAAATAGAAAGGACCTTGAGCGCATGCTTCTTGGATCCACCTGAAGAAATGAAGAAGAACAAATGAAGAAACGACGAAAGGAAGGGGAAAGGCACCTAACGGTGGACTTCAAATGAAATAGAGTCAGAGTGCAGAAAGAAGAGTAAAGCACTACGTAAAAAACGATTTTTAGCAACGGTTTAATTTTGTTTGTAGGGGCGGCTGGTGATGGAGCCGCCCCTACAGTGGCGTTCTCGAGTGCCCAGACATCAGCCACCCCTACAAATGGGGTCTGATTTGTAGGGACGGCTCAATCACCAGCCGCCCCTGTAGTTTCTATTTGTAGGGGCGACTGCGGCTGGTGATTGAGCCGCCCCTACAAATACCTCCGTATACATAGCTCCGATTTGTAGGGGCAACCAACCGCCCCTACAAATACTCCCATATACATAGCTCCGATTTGTAGGGGCGGCTCAATCACCAGCCGCCCCTACAAATGACCCACATATAAAAAGGCTGCAGAATCTTCTTCCTCTTCGGATCACTCACTCCATCCCGTGAAAAAAAGGTGGGGAGGTCTTGGACACCTCCCAAAAATTGGTCTACTAAGGGGGATGGTTTTGGTCTTAAATCCTTTGATAGAAAGGTTATAGTGGGTAGTCCACACTTTTTTTTAAAGTTTTAATGGTTGGTTAGTGAGTAATTAGAGTTTTGTTTTTCTCTCTCTTCTATGATGCTTGAGCTACTTATGAAGCAAATTAGACCCAAGTTTTAAATGTACTAGGGTAAATTAAGGAGTGGAACAAGATCATACCCTTATTTGGTCCATGTTTCTTGATTTTAGTGAACAA